GGGACGGCGAACCGCGGCGAGTGGGGGCCGCGATCGGCCGAACCTGCTGCGTCAGCAGGTAAATAAACTGGCCCGACCCGCCAGGGTGCTTACCCTGGCGAGCCGCGTGCCAAACGTTGCCGACCTCTGATTTAAACTAAGCTGAGAAAACCTACTCTTGTGATCGGCCAAGCAGCGTCACTGGAGGTGGGGGTGGAGGGGGGGGGGGGGTGGAAAAATCCAAGTCCCTGTGAAGACAGCGCTAGGTTGACCTAGCTCCGGCCTCTCGGGGAGGCGGACCATCTCATCGAGGGTAGCGACACAGCTGTAGTGTTTCTAGTGTCGACAAGGGTTAGGGTTATCCCAGGATAAACATTGGGGTTTAACTGTACCGGTAGAGTTCTGCTGGTATCACTGGAAAAGCTCCCATGCCGACAAGCCGGCAGGACTCCTGGGGTCAGTTCCAGGTTCTGTAAGGACATATGGGCTAATAGATACAAACTCCTGCCCCCCTCCCCAGGTTACCCCCCTTTCAGCTTTTGAAGGCCAATGCTTCTGGGGGCTGCTCCCTGGCCCCCTCCTCGTGGAGCTGGTGAGACCCCCCAACTGCCCCACAGCTAGGAGGGGGACAGAGCCCAGCTCTGCCTTGCAGCTCCAGCTCCTCGTCCCCCCCTGGAAGGAGGCTCAGTTCCGAGGGGGACCCAAGGGGAGCTGGAAGAGGGACACAGGCGTGGGGGGGCAGTACTGGGGGGTTCTTGGGGAGATCCAGGCTTGAGGGGGGCCTTACGGAGGAGAGTTGGGGTGGGACACAGGCTTGAGGGGCGCCCTGGGCAGGATGCGGAGTGCTTGGGGAGCAGAACTGTACAGATGGGAGGACAGGAGGGAAGTTACTTTGTCAGGGGCTGTGGGGGTGGAGGGGCTTGCTGGGCTCTGAGGTCCCCTCCCTGCAGCTTGGGTGGAAAGTTACTCCACTGCTCAGTGTGACACCCCTCCCGCCCCCCCGTGCCCGCCGCCTCTGCCCTCCGGGGGAGACCCACATCAGCCACGGGTCCTGTGGGGCGCAGCCCAGCCCCACTGATGCTAACGGACGCTCTCTGCACCCGCAGCTCTGCCGCAGAAGCCAAGAGCACAGTCAGCATTCTGGACGACATCGGCAGCATGTTCGACGACCTGGCCGACCAGCTGGACGCCATGCTGGAATGAGGCCCGAGGAGAACCCCAGCTAACCTCAGGATTTACCGTGGGTACAAGGGCACAACGATCCACCGACTCCCAGCCCCCCCTCCCTGCCCCTTGTACAGCCTGCCCCCCCTCGGCGAACAGCCCATCCTTCGGGGTTTGCACAAAGAAGAAAAGATTACCTCAGGATTGTGCTCACACAGCCCGCGGCGCTCGGGGCAGGCTTTTGGCGGGAGGGGGTTTGCAGAAGCAAACAAACAAAAAGCCTTGTTACGGTTTTTTTCCTACCGAAGTAGCAAGCGACCGTGGGATAAAGGCGCCCATAATGCCGTCTAAACCCAACTGCCAGGCCGAGAAGGCAGTGGAGTGGGGCTCGTCCCCTGACTCGCCTCTCCAGGCCAAACCCGAAATCCAGCGAGAATGGTTCTGTTCCGGTTGTGCCGTGTAGCTGAACTTCCACCTTTTTAGTTTGACCCGATCGTCCTCTCTCTCGCCGGACTCCCAGATGTGACAGTTCTGTGTGTAGCCAAACGTGGCCCAATCCGTCTGCTTTCCTCCCCGTTCGGTTTGGGTTAGACTCTCGTTCTGGTGACGCTGTGTTGCTATCGTTTCTCGACCGAGCACTGCCATTATCCCGTGTGCCGCCGTCTGCGTTCCCATGCCCCCGTCTGCTGATGTTGGGAGACGCTAGGAGTGGTGGGCCGGGGCCGCCCGCTGTGGGTGCCAGGGTGGGCGCTTGCCCGCTGGCGTTCGGTTAGCTGCATGCTTTGTTTTATTCGGAAGGTGTTTGTTTGTTCTTTCCTGGTGCTGAGAAGCTGTGACCGTGAGACGTTGTTCTGGTGACAAGTCCGGTTTGACCAATTAGCTCTTTCATTTTTAAAAAATTATTATTTTTTCTGTGTTCTGGTTACTTTGGGGGCCGTCTTGCCGGGGGAGCAGCGCTGTGCGCCGGCACCGTGAGAAAGCTTTGTAGGTTTGCATGCTCGAGACAGTGTTATGAGAAGAAAAGAAAAATATAGAAAATAGCCCCCTCCCTCCCACATGCCACTCCCTGCTGGGGGCGGCTCCTGGCGGCTGCCCGGGGAGGTGGGGCCCGGGTGGCTTTCACTGCACAGAAAGGGCTGTTGGAAATCTGAGCACGGCCCCATCACCTTGCCCCTTTCTCCACTCAGCCACTTGGCTTCCAAAGACTTTGTCCTTGACTTGGACTATTCAGCCTTTAATGCCCATCCTCACCCCGCTCCTCTGCTGGAGCGACAGCCAGTCCCAGGCTCGCTGGCCGTCAGGGGCCTGGTTGTGCTCTGTGGAAGCCCCTGGCAGCAGGCTGGGGGCCCCGGAGGGCGGTCTCCATTGAAAGGGATGCTTGCGTGCGTTCGGCCCCAACGGGGTGGTGTCCCCGGAGCAGTGGGCCTGCGGGGGATTCGGTGTGAGCTGGGCTGTGGAGGGGGTGAGCAGTGGTGGGGCTCTCAGCCAGGAGGAGCCGGAAAGTTGTGCTGGGGGCGGAGGGCGGGGGAGAGAACCCTCCTGCAGATGCTGCGGAGGGCAGGGGCTGGGAGGGAAGGGGCTCTGATGGCAGGAGCCTAGGGGCTTGTCAGCTCTCTGAGGGCCGTGGGCACCAGGCTGTGGGTGTTCAGAGCCAGGCGCTACGCATGCAGGGCTGGGGCAGCAGCAAGCCACGGGCCAGGCTGATTCCCAGTTCACTGCTCCATCCCCCACCACTTGTCCCCTCAAAACACTGCCGCAACCACAGCGGCCAAGACCCCCCCAGGCCTGCCCTGCAGGCCCCAAAGAGCCCAAGCCCCCAGGAGCTGTGCTGCTCGTAGAGGAGCGTTGCCTAGTGAGCGGCGCGCAGGGCTCTCCTCCATCTGTAGCAAGGTGCTGTGTCAGCCTGGTCACGGGCTGCCGTAGGGGGTGGGGGGCCTTACCGGAGGATACGAGAGGGTGGCTCTGTGGGGTCTGTTGGGGGCAGCAGCAGCCAACTCACCGATGGCAAAGGGAAGCCAGCCTGGGGCACCCCCGCCTTAGCGACCCGGAGAGCCTGAGCCAGGCCATGGGGGCGCCCAGTGCTCTGCCCAGTGGGTTCCGCCGCGGCACGGCTCTGCTGGCGACCGCCACGGCCAGACCCCGGGGAGCTGCGTGGCGAGGAGGGGGATGGGGCTGCAGCACCCCTCATACAAGCACAATCCAGGAGTCCCTAGTGATGGATTCCCAATTGGCCGGTCAGGCCTCACTGCTCCTCCTTCCCCCCACCAGCCCAGAGGGCATTGCCCGGGCAGCGCCAATGCCCCTGGAGCAGAGGGAGCTCAGGGAACAAATCCCTTTCCTCGTCCCAGTCAGTCCCGCAGGGGGTGCCAGCGGCATTTCTGTTACGTGGGGCTCACTGGTCCCCCACCCTGCGCCCCAGCCCTGCCTGCCCTCAGGGAGACCGGCTTGTGTCAGAGCGTGACCTTGGAGAGCCGCAGTAGCTAACCCGTGTCTAACCCCGTAGCACGCGGCCTGGGCAGGTTAGCCTCAGTGTGACAGGCAGTTCTTGCACCCTGCTGGTTAATCCCACTGCCCCGGGCTGTGTTCTGAACACCTCGCCGTCCGTGGGGAGCCCAGGCCTGGGCGGGAGCCGCTCGCCCTAGAAACGCGCTGCCAGTTTCCAGTCCAGGCCCATGGGCGTGCCTGACTGGCTCCTGCTAGCCCAGTGTCCCTTCTCAGCGAGGGGCCAGTTCCAGATGCAGCAGAGGCGGGTGTAGATGTAGTGGCGCAGTGGCAGATGTAGGATAATTCCCCTCCGCTCTCATTAGGCCTCCTCCTGGTCTCTTAGGGCTTGTCTGCAGGGCAACACCGTGAATTGTAGAGCTGAAATGAATAGGCAGCAGGTTTAATACAAACAGAAGGAAGTACTTCTTCACAATGCACAGTTAACTTGTGGAACTCGTTGCCAGGGGGTGTGGTGAAGCCAAAGTATAACTGGCTTCCAAAAAGAATTAGATCAGTTCAAGGAGGATTGGTCCTTCGATGAGCAAGGGATGGCTCACTCGATAATTGCCCTGTTCTCTTCATTCCCTCTGAACCATCTGGTGCCAGCCACTGCCAGAAGACAGGACACTGGGCTGGATGGACCATTGGTCTGACCCAGCGTGGCCGTTACGTTACGATGGACTGTGTACCTTTTAGTTCGTGCCAGCGGGTCTGCGGGGGGCGATTAGCGTTCTCAACCATTCCCACCCCTCTGGCTTGCGCCGCGGTGCCATGGAGACCAGCCCTACCCATCAGCATTTGGCTACAGCCCTGAAGCAGGAGCTTGAATGTCCCTGCCCATGTGTGTGTGGCCATTAGTTATGCTAATTCCGGTTCTGCTGCATTCCCCCTAGAATGTCCAGTCCCTTTTCAAGTCTCCAAGGGGCTGGTGAGCCATGCGCTGCGATGCTGGCCCAAGGGACTGGGGGGGGGGGGGGCATGTCTGAGAAATCCCAAATTGTTCATCGGTTTCTAAAGCCTCAATGTCCTGCCCCATGTCTATAATGTCTCCCTCCCCCCTGCCTCTTGCTGCGTCTGAACAAGCAGGGGCGACAACCGGACCAGAACGAGCAGCCGTGGAGCTGTTAGTTGGGCTCAAGCATCAATGCCTGGGGTTGGCCAGCAGGGAGGAGGCCGAGCAGCTGATGTGTTGTCAGGGCTTTTCCTCCAAACTCTTGCCAGACCAGCATTTCCCGTCTACAAGGGCTCCAGTTCCGAGGCCGCCCATCCTGCAGCCTGTACCCAGATAGGTAGCTGTTACTCGCAGGCCTGGGCCCATGGATGTCAGCGGGGCCATGTGTGAGTGAGGGGGCTGGGATCGGCTTCCCTGCTTCTTGCACGTGCCAGTGATTTCCCCTGCCACATCCCGATACATTTGCTCCTTTGTCAAACCAATGACCTTGGGGACCCAAAATTGGGCTAGGGGAATACAGACCAGCCCATGGGTTCAGCTCCTTCGCTTCTGGCTTGAGCCTCCTGTCCAAGAGGGTTGTTAGCACGCTCTGTATCCCAGTAGGTTTCTTACATGCGCGGAGCTCATTGCAGAGGGAAGAGGGCCTTAGCCGAAGCAAGCAGATTAGAGGAGGACATGGCTGAGCGAGGCCTGTGTTTAGGACAATGCCCTACTGCAGTGAAGTGTTACGAACACTTCCTAGTTGGGGAACAAAAACTCGTTCTCTGGAGGGCGATAAGGGATGAAGAAATAATAAGCTATATAAAGAAGTATTAATTTATTGGGAAAAAAAGATTTAAGACAGATATTTTCCCCCAGAAATTAAAAAAAGGAATAAACTTTAACAAATATATATTTAAAATATTAAAAATAGTATCAATTATATAATAAAAGTTTTTAAAAAAATCAAGAGAACTGGATTTTAGCTTGAGAAAAATCTATTAGATTACAATAAGCTCTGTGTCTTTGTGGCAAGATCATATTAAGAGTAGCACAAGCATAAGATACCTTTTATCTCGTTAGAAGGTCTGTGCAAACAGCTTTCGGTTTGTTTTTCTGTTGGAATTCAGTGTTCTTCCTTTATTTTTACACAGTTTAAGAAACTCAAAGGATGTGCCTTGTTTCATGAAGGTTTTTGTTAACTCTGATCTGGAGGGTTGTTTTATTTTTCTTAGGTGTCTTCAGGGTTGTTTTTTTTCTTTTTTTGTGTGTGAGTGTGTGTGTGTGTGTGTGTGTGCGTATTCTTGAGAATACACAGCTGTATATTCATGTATAAACAGGATTTGGAGTCTGGTTTATCGCTTGATTTCTGATGAATGCATTTTGCTTGTGGTTTCAAAACAACGTGTTGATGTAATTTTTTTCTGAGAAGTACAAACTGCTCTCTCTCTCTCTCTCTCTCTTTTTCTCCCATTGTGTTTGCTGATCCAGATGTGTTTGGCACAACTTTGAAATTTCTTTAAAAAAAAGCCTAGAACTATCTGTTGTAAAGAAAAAAAATGTATCTTAACAAAATCCATAAAGTTCTACATGATGGAGATATACATATATATATATTTTTTATGATTAAGTTATGGAATCTGTATTGTATTCCCATTCTGTCAAAGCTATGCATCTTGGTGCTTTTCCCTGCTCTTCTGTGCTTCGGTTCCACCTATATTATTATGACTATTCTGAATATTAAATGGCTCGTGGTGCTTTGAAGACATTTGCTCCTATAAAAAGTCTGGCAACAAATATTTAAAGGAAAAAAAAAAAACCTTATCAACCTTAATTGTAAAAGAGACAAATGTTATTTTTATTGTTGGGAATTAACTCCAACCAAAAAAAATTCCATGGTACAGACAATTCCTAAAGCACCAGGTTGTACAGTGTGTGTATATGTCCTTCTGGTCCCCTGCGATGGACTGACTCATACTGTAATTTTTTGTCAGGCATGTGGCAGTGGTATGCTTGACTGACTGCATTTACTGCCATCGGCTCTCAATAAATGTCAGAAAACTCAAGGTGGGTGCCACTCCTGTTTCGCTAGGCCTGGCTGCTGTCGTTAATGGGGGTGCGGCCAGATGGGGCCTGGGTGTTCTGCTACAACCCTGGCAGACGTGACTGTGGCGTGGAGGAGCAGGTGTTCCTAACCCTCCCAGGAGCATAGGGGTGAGCAAGTAGCACGGAAAACTGGGGCAGCCACCTGTGGACATGGGGACTGACACGGTCACCGCGCTGTGGGACAATTAAACCAAACCTTCCCTGCTTGCTTCACTCCCAGGGCCCCAGGGTGTGAAATCCCCAGCCCGGCTGCTGCCTGGCTCAGGTCGAGCACCCGGAATACTGACACCTTTTGCAAATTGGCAAATTAGGATGGAAATGGAACTGCCCTAAGCAGCACGCCCAGAGCTGGGCCTGTAGCTCGGGGGCTCGGTGCAGCACGCCTGGCCCCTGGCTGCGCTGTATTCACCAGGGGCATGCCCAGGGCTGGAAGCGTTGGCCTGGCCCAGACGAGGTAAATGTCTTTGGCACCAGGTAAGGGAGCCGGGACTGAGGTCACACCCTTTCCCGCGGCTCTGGCTCCAGCAAGACACTTTAAGGCTTTTGATGCTAAACTTGACCCTGTTACTCCTAAAAAAAATCTCCCGGATTGAAAGCGTGGGTGAGGAAAACGATCAAGAGGCGGGCTGGTGTCGGCCAGCTCACTCCTTGTTACCGGAGAGAGCAAAGCTCCTAGTATTCGCTTCTTAAGGCCGCCTGGGTTAGAGCAGCAGCTGTGCCCCCCCCCCCATTTGATTCAGGTGCTGTACTAAAGGCTTAGCAAGAATTTGAAACCCCTGCGGAGCTGAGTGTTTCAGAGTCCCTGGCCATGGGGCTGGCTCAGGGTTTAGACAACCTGCTCTCTGCTGGTATGAGCAGGAGCTAGTGCCTATGTCATCATTGGATGCTGCAGGGCGGATGCTGTAGGCAGTCGGGGCGGCTCTATGGACGGGAACAGGGGCTGTCAACCATGTAATGCCAGCCTG